GAAGAAGAGAAGCCGATTTACCCTGGAACCATCACGGAAAACGCCTCGGCCTCCTCGGGCGGTGAGCGCTGCTATGGGCAAGGTCCCATGACAAGCGACTTTCGCTTGAGACGCGATGAGACATTACAGCGACCCGTTCAAACATTACCCGGGGAGAATGTGATTGGGTTGAGATGAACGCAGGTAACCTTAATTCGCATCTGGCATTGGGGCAAATGCGAATGCTATCGCGAAGGTTAACCGGCACTTTGGTACTATGTGCAGAGGTACGTCGACTTAAGCCTCGCTAAGAGGCCCCTTCGCGTCTAGGGAGCACGAATAAAGACCCGGATTACGCAGGGTCAAGGCCTGAGGGTTCCGAGAGGGGAAATTCGTCACTGACTTGGGGAATTCACTACGCAAAGAAATGCAGTGAACTGCAAGCACACGGCCGCAGCTCGATATCACGGACAGCCAAGAATACTCAGAAGTGCAGCAGCTTCATGCAGCTGTATGAGAAGAATGCTTCCTTGCGAGAAGCGGGTTTGGAAGCTCGGCTCCGCGCCCTCGCGTTTCCATGGTGTATCGCCCGAAAGCAACATTGACGGTGACGCGGCGACTCCTTTTGCGGGGAGGATATCTCGGGTGCGTGAATTGGCTCATCCCATGGCAAGCGCTGTAGGTCTGAGCGCGCTTGGAAAGGGACTCATTGCGACCCGAGCTGGAATTTGACGTTTGATGGGTGACGGATATCCTGCTGACCTTGGCACGAGCTTCCTATGCCTTCAGATTGACCCCTTGCGACAGATGGTCTGAGGTTGAGTCTAGAATTAGCGGCAGAGCCGTCGATTTCGCGACGAAATATTGCTGCGGATGGCTAAGATTGCCGCGAGCCCGCAACTGGGGGCTTGCAACATGATTCAGATGACAACTCCGATGTTGTGGATGTGAGAGGCGTCGGTTTGGAAACGCCGTTCTTGACCCCTCTTGTCGATCGGCGGCGGCTTGGAGGGTTGAAGCTGAGATCGTAAACTCAGTTTGAATCAACATCGTGGAGGCCAGACTCAGGAGAGAGACCTTGAGCCGGCGACTATCACACGGAGGCTCGGTGATGATGCCGGTAAGTGCCGTGGATGATAGCTGACCCCTGTCAGGAAGGGAAGCTTAAAGGGAGGCAGCTTGGCATTGAAGAAAGCTTGGCGTTAATTGTGGAGACCGGAGGCTGACTGGTAGAGTGTCGTGGATGTCTGTGTGGGCGACGATCACGCAGGTGGGCCAGGTTGGTGCCTCATGTGGGCATAAAAGCCGTTTTGAGTGTGGAGAGCCGTGCCAATGTTTGGCGTTGGCCGTTTCACCAGGATATGGCATAGCGGCGTCAGGACGAGGGCGAGGACGATTGCAGCGAAGATGCGCAAAACGGCTGGTGGGGGCTTGGCGAAGCGGCTCCAAGTAACAGGAGCGGCCAGGGGCGTTCTGACGAGGCTAGTTGATAGACGTCAGCGCGTCTGGCGAATGGTTTTGGCTGGCATCGGTGACGAGCTTGGAGCGGCGATGATACTGGAGGCGGAACCGGTGCAGGACTGGGGGCGAGTCAATACGAGTCTTTTGCCTTTTTGGTAAGCATTGGGTGAGGGAGGAGTCGAGTTGGAGATTGTGCCGACTATCCGAAACGGCCAGGGCGGTAGGTCGAGCAGGAGACAGGAGGAGAGAGAGTTGTGGGCGAGTGTGGGTGGTCCGTCCTGGAGGGAGCGAGAACGAGGCAGAGGTTCAGCCTCGCTGGAAGAAGAACGTCGAGCCAAGAACGAGGTGGACTGATGGTTCAAATAAAAAAGCGAGAATGCTTGAAGTCTTTAAGCTTGAGCCGGGGAAAAAAAATAGGGTTGAATAGGGATTCTGCGCAAGGTGAATCAAAGACAGGTGATCTGTAAACATTATCGTACGATTCTTACGTTGAGGAGCCCACGGATGGGCTCATGGAAGGCCGTCTTGCTGGGTGGTCCATTCGACTGAGACCCTGAGGAGAGGGAAGGGCGCATGGGAGCAACATTGCGTCGAGGCAAAGGAGGGATGCCATTGGGCGACGGCGGCACATGGCTTAGACTTTCCGCTCGTGCCAGACAGTCAGGGGGGGAAGACGGCGCCCCTGCGAACCTTGCCCGGGCGACAGGTGGGCTTGTTAGGATCGAGATAAGCTGACAGGCGTCTTTGGGCGGGTGCTGGAGGGCAAAAGGACGGAGGGAGGGTGGGTGGAAGTTTGACGTGAGGGTTGGCAAAAGGGTTGAGGGTTTCACGACGGGGATAAAGTGTGGATGAGGAGGCTTTTGGTGGTGCAGGTGCTGGGATGACAAGTTTGGAGATTTGCGGGTGATGCACGGGCCAAGACGGCCAAGGAAGGAAAGGTGTTCTCGCTGTGCCGCTGTTCCTGCTGCCTTTGGTGGTGGTGGTGGTGGATCCAGGCAAGAGCGGTCGTGGTCGTGGTCCTGCTGCGTGCGGTGCCTGCCTGCGGTGGACGTTGCTGACCGGGTGGGACCTGCCGCACCTCGCACATGTGTAACCGGCGACCCCTGCCACCAAGCAGAAAAGAGACTAGTCGGAGTGTGGGGGTGACCCCTGTGCCTTCCTCATTCTTAATTTTCTTTCCGCTGCTTTCCCGCCGTTGTCTTTCCTCGCAGAGGCAAGGGGCCTGTCAGTCAGACATCGGGGGAGCGCCTTCTGGATGGAAAGGAAGGAAAGGGTTCCCCAGACCCGGGCAGTCAAACCTTTTTTTCTTTCGCGATGATGGGAGGCCACGAAAGTTAATAGTTAATCCACGGATACTGACAGCGACAGTCGAGTAAGGCGAGAGTCATTGGACCCAATTGGCAATAAACTACCTCACCCAGCACTGGGGATGCTTGTGGATGATAAGGTAGTCTGCGATGGAAAGCTTTATTTTGAGTTGCCAGCTCGGCGATTGATCCCGTGGTCATCACGTTGCAGAGTCACAATCTGGTAGGCAAGGAAGGTAGGTAGGTACGGATAGATAGGCATTGGTGATGAGAGGTTATTATCTGCTTGGCTCTCATGATCCCCGACCTTCCAATCAATAATTCTCTGCATGCTGGGCATCTGGGCACTTTGGACAGCGCACATTGGTCGCTGGGCACCCCTAGAATAGTGGCCGTGTTCTTCAATTAGCAGCTACCGAGACGCTACAGCTGCATGCCAGTGCACTATTTACAGCATGCCCTGCCATGGAGAGCCTTGGGATGCAGTAGGCCCATCACATTGGTGCCCCTCTACAGTGGCTTCCCCGCTGTGCCCGCTGGCAGCACAGCGAATCCCGTGTCACTGTCGCCCAGCCACCACAGCTTCCCGCCTGCACGCCTCACCTTTTTTTTCGCTGGCCCTCGCACTCACCTCACCACCTTTAAGCGCCCAGCAGCATGGACCCGGCCGAAACAGGCCTGGCGTCCGTGTTCCAAAATTAAATCTGGCCATTCAGAGCCCGTCTTTCGTGCTTCTCGTCGATGCTCGTCACCTTGGACTGTCCACTTCTCGATCCATTACCTCTAGGCCCGGCGGCAAGAAAAAGACAATGACACGACTGGCAGACCGCAAGATGCATGACAGCATCGGGGGACGGATATGAGGACCTCGACTCGTCTTCCCGACCAGACGGTCTCCCTCTCCCTTTCCTTTGTTTTCCCCTTTCATCCCAACAGAACGGTACCCTACCCTGTCACGCCGCCGCGGACCTACCTGAACTGCGCGGGAAACCAAGCAACAAACGACATCCATCTGCATATTCGTACCTGAGGTACGCCGCATAGCTACGAAGTACGACTGCAAGCCATCGCCAGCCCTTGTTCGTCGCATCGATTGCGTAGCGCATATTCCCACTCCAACCCGTCTTTTGGCAGCGAAAAAAGAGCGAAAAAGCCCCTACCCTGTTGCAACCGAAACGTCAAGATAGCCTCGGGGCCCCTCGTCAAAGCGCCTCTAACAGAAGTCGTCTCAACTCCGCCCACCTGCTGTCGCACCTGGCCCTGCCGTCTGATCAGTCTCGCCTCTCGGATCGGACTGATACAGCTCCCCCCCAACTGCGAAACCCCTCCAACGTCTGATCTACCGAATCGTCCAGTCCACCTTAATCACCCCTGCTCCCGTTCGCCGCCGCCACCAATTCGCCCAACTTTTGCACTCGCTGCACAATTGCAGAGACGAACAGCACCTTGCCAGCACGCCGTTGACGAGGTTTCATGGACACCTGACATCCGAAAGATTAGTCCCGACACCATCACGTCCCTCCACCCCATTCCACACCACCTACCGCACCACGTCCACGCCTCCCTCCACCAAAACCGCCCGGATCGAATTCTATCCTTCCGTCCCTCGACCTCAAGCCCCGTCAATCCTCAATCCTGGCCCTGGTCCCTATTCAAGGAACCGATTCACTCCCGGCCGCACCCTGGTTCAAAAATCCTCCTCAACCGCGCCAAGGCCAGAGACAGCCGCTCCATCGACACTTGCCGTCCGACTCGTCTCTTTATGACTTTCCCCCCACCCGCCGAAAGCTTCGTCAACTCGTCCTCCACCTCTCTCTTCTCACCCTCATTTTTCTCTTCTTCTCCGTTGCATCTCGGTCACGTCGAAGAGTCAAGTCAATTCCTCGAGCCCTTCCGACTAACGAGATCCTTTCTTTCCTTCGCTGCTGGCTCAGATCACTCTTTTTAAAACATAGCACTCCAACCGGTTTGGCTGGGGTCTTCTTTTCGCTTCTTTTTGTTCGTCACGCGCGCCGCTTTGGGTATTAAAAAGACGTTTTAATTCGGGGTCCAAGGAGAAAGAGATTGGAAATCAGTATCTGGAAACGGGACACTACGGTTATCAGGGTTTATTGGGATTCGCCGCGCCGCCCTCGTTCGATCCTCCCGCGATCCGTCTCCGCCCCAGGCCCGAGCCTGTCAACTCGTCGCTATTGTCGCAGGTCGACACCCTAATAAATCTACGCAAAGGAGGGAAAATCAAACACAGTCAACATGTCGGGTGACTTGACCTTTGGGGTTTTGGTCAAGAAGCAGTTCACTGCCCAGAAGCTGCTCTTCCATTTCCTCTTCTGGACCTTTCACTGGGGCATTTTTGCCTACGGATGGTGAGCCACCAAGTGCTGAAGCTTCGCCAATTGTGATGGCTAATTCCTCCCAGGTGGAAGCAAGCGGCCGATACGAGACTAGCGGGTCTGAACACCCTGCAGTTTTCCGTCTGGATTTCTAGAGGTGCTGGTTTGGTCCTCAGTGTCGATGGCATGCTCATCCTGCTCCCCGTCTGCCGAACCGTCATGCGATGGATCCGACCCAAGGTTCGCTTCCTGCCTCTCGATGAGAACCTCTGGCTTCACAGACAGCTGGCATACTCCATGCTGCTGTTCACCATCCTCCACACTTCTGCTCATTACATCAAGTAAGTTTCGTGGCGTACCCTGAAAGAACCAACGCTTACAACCCCAGCTTCTTCAACGTCGAGGTCACGCAGATTCGTCCCGTTACCGCCATCCAGATTCACTACGCCCAGGCTGGTGGTGTCACTGGTCATGTCATGCTTCTCTGCATGCTCTTGATGTACACCACCGCCCATTCCCGCATTCGTCAGCAGTCGTTCGAGACGTTCTGGTACACCCACCACCTGTTCATCCCCTTCTTCCTTGGACTGTACACCCACACGACCGGCTGCTTCGTTCGCGACACTGCTCTGCCTTACTCGCCATTCGCCGGAAAGGACTACTGGGACCACTGCATCGGCTACCTTGGATGGCGTTGGGAGCTGTGGTCTGGTGCTTTCTATCTCATGGAGCGTACCTACCGTGAGGTCCGTGCTCGCCGCCTCACCAAGATCACCCGTGTTGTCCGCCACCCGTACGACGTCGTCGAGCTCCAGTTCAACAAGCCCTCGTTCAAGTACAAGGCCGGTCAGTGGCTCTTCCTCCAGGTGCCCTCGATCTCCAACTACCAGTGGCACCCTTTTACCATCACTTCCTGCCCCTTCGACCCCTACGTCTCGGTTCACGTTCGCCAGGTTGGTGACTTCACCCGCGCTCTTGGTGATGCGGTTGGTGCCGGTGGCGCCCAGGCCAAGCTTTACGACGGCGTCGACCCCATGGGAATGTACGAGGTTGCTCTTCAGAATGGTCAGCAAATGCCCGATCTCCGTATCGACGGACCCTACGGAGCTCCCGCCGAAGACGTATTCGAGAACGAAATCGCTGTGCTCATCGGTACTGGTATTGGTGTCACTCCCTGGGCCTCCATTCTCAAGAACATCTACCATCTGCGCAACGGCCCGAACCCCCCGACCCGTCTTCGCCGTGTCGAGTTCATCTGGGTTTGCAAGGATACCGGTTCTTTCGAATGGTTCCAGACTCTTCTCTCGTCTCTCGAGTCTCAGTCCGATGAGGCTGCTCGCCTTCCTGGCAGCAACGGTCTCGAGTTCTTGAAGATCCACACCTACCTCACCCAGAAGTTGGATATGAACACCACGCAAAACATCATCCTCAACTCTGTCGGTTCGGAACACGACCCTCTTACCGAACTCAAGTCTCGCACGAACTTTGGCCGACCCAACTTCTCCAAGCTGTTCGCCACCATGCGTGATGGTATCCTGGACAGAACTTACCTCAATGGTCTGGAGGGTAGCATGCGCACAACTGTTGGTGTCTACTTCTGCGGTCCTTCAGTGGCTGGTAAGTTTCTCACGCCCCTTTTCTTGTGACCTTAACTAATAAGCCTCCCAGCTCGCGATATCAAGAAGGCCTGTAACGAAGCCTCTGTCGCAGAAGTCAACTTCCGCTTCTGGAAGGAGCACTTCTAAACGCAAAAGTCCGCCTTTAAAAAATCTCAAAAAAACAGCAAGATCCCAACGTTATGTTGTGCTCTGTAAATGTAGGAGGAGTTTACGTCAGAAGACGATTTTTACAGCTTCCGGGAGCTCTCCGACATGGAGAAGGCGAGTGTCGCGCCAAGAGGGGGAGAGTCGGCTGAATGATCTGGACAGCAAGCGGGAAGGCGTTGGCTGGAAATGCATTGAAGAAACCCACCCAGCGATGTGCATCATCTTACATCTTTTTGCCGCCATCCGGCGAGTGCCTCTCGGTCCATTATTTCTTTCATGTCATGGGGTCAACCGGATGGCGGGCAATGTTCTTTCACATATATAAAGCCCATATATATCACTTTCAGCTATGGCGAATGGTTTACTCCAACAGTATCGTTTGTATGATTTAGCGGGCAAGGACGTGTGGCTGGAGACGGGTGATATGATGTGATGTCAAAAAGAACATATTTATCAATCCCATCATTGGACGACGCAAGCGCTTATCTTTGGTCGACGTACGTGCCGTGTGTGATCTGTGTGATAGGAACGGAACTTCGGCCTCTAGTCTGACGAACTAGTAGGCGCAGCGAACGACTGTCAACTGATGATGACAGGAACCATCTCGACCGAACGCGATTGGTCTGTGGTTTTGCTGGGTGCTGACACATCGGCAGACTTTGTCATGCGCAGGGAGTATGCATGCCTCGCGAGCATGACGTTACAGAGGGCATTAAAGTGACAGGGGAGGGAACGGCCGGGAGTGAAGAGCGGAAGAGTCGGCGCGGAATAAGGGTCGTGGTGGGGAAATCCCACCAAAGCGTTACCGTCCGGGCGTGATCCCGGCCGAGTCAAACCCTGGAGGGCTGCTGCTGACTCAACCACCTCGCGCAGCGAAGAGCGAGGTGTCTAGACCGCGGCCGCGCTTGATCGGAGCGTTTGGAATCATTTGGTCATTGCTTATGCTGTGGTCTGTGTGAGGGAGGGAGAGGTGGGCGACCCAGCGAAGAGGGCGAAAGCAGCGACTTGGCTCTGACGATCGGGTGGAGAAGACGGGGGCATGTGTCAAACGGTTGGCGTTTGGGGTCTGGACTGGGACCGCTCCCGACATGCGTTGCTGCCGTGCGGACACTGCGGAGGCGGCCGATGTGGTGAGATGGGACCTGGCTTCTGAGATGACTCCCTTGTTATTTTGGGGATGATTTCTTTGGTTCGGACTTTGCATCCGTGGGGGAAAGGGTTTGAGAGATGGGTGAGGTTGATGTGAAGATGGGACGACTTTTGAGGAGTATGTTATGACAGTGATGTCGTTTTTTGTTCACTGCTTGAGTCGTGATATTTTGGTCATCTTGGCGTGTTCTCATGATCTGAGGCGGCCTTGAACTGGATGGAAGTGTTTTCTCCTCGGTATGCGACTCGCCGCGTACGTGTAAGTGGGAGTTCCCAAGTGTTGGGTGTGAGTGGGGGCATCGCGCATTTGAGGGTGTTTTGTATGAAGCCCCGTCCCGCCTAGCGCAGACACGGAATTCCCGACGGGCGGATTGGGTTTGCGTGTCTGCATGTTCGGGTGAATGACGCAAAAGGTGAATAAGAGTGGTTCTTCTCTTCTTTTGCCGCGCAGATGGGATGAAAGTGGGATTGAATTGCGTTGGTGGTGGTGTCGCGAGTCGGGGGGGACGTCGCGGGGTGATGTGGTGTTGGGTCAGCGGCCTCCGAGGAGAAGGAGCCGCCGCCCGCGGACGTCTTCCGAGCGGGCAGTTGCCGGTGGGTGGAGTGTTCGGGTATTGAAATGCGAGTTTGGTTTATGCTGGATGTTCGTTTGGTCATGCCGAAGGCCGAAGGCTTATCATTCATGAGGCCGAGGGTTTTTGCAGAAAGATGAAAGGTTAGGTGGACTTCCCGTCATGGGCGAAGTCTTGTAGTCTTCGAAACTGTATTCATTTTCCTTTTAGTCTTGTGACTGGAAATCTGAGTTTGTGAGATTGGGATGATTTTTTGAGATGGCCGTGCATGGATATAGGTGGCCAGTTCGTCCATTCTTCGAAACTCTTGGTGGTGAGTGTGCTTGTTTTGAGTTTTGAGGTTGAGGGTTTGAGGTCCGATGATGGGATGGAGTGCTATTTTGGGTTACAAGATGGGATTATTTCCCTTTTTTTCAGTGGTGAGATTTGTTGAAGAAGTTGAATTGCTACCTTTTACTATGAGCTGAGTAGAGAGGATGATTTTCTCGCGATTGAGATTTGAACTTGCTGGGAGTGGTACGATATGAACTTCTGTAAGCTACATATCTTGATTGGCTTTGAGTAAACTTTTTCTGTGAAATAAGCTACTGTCAATAGTGGGAAAGGCTATCTTTGAAGAATTGTTAGATCGATTTAATATTCCTCGGAGACTTTCGTGGGCCGGACTCATACCCCAGCTGATGTTCCACGCAACTTTTACCTGCTTGGATGTATAAGTAGTTCCGTTGAGCCATTGATGACATGTCCAAGAATGTGCGCGAGCATTGCGCTGAGGGGCAAGAACTTAATGTCGAATGAAGAAGCCTACATGTTCCAATGACCTGGCGCGTTGATTATATTTTAGAATTTCCTAATAGAGATATCTAGCTATCGTCAGCCCTTGGCTCTTTCCTTCGTTTCGTCGTTGTCTCTGTGTTATCCATGGAGAATAATGCTAAGAGAAGGGGCACCGAGATGCCCGCCAAGCTTCTTGAGCTAATCTCATAAGCCATAACGTGGTTACATTCCAGATTAATTACAAAATGAGATGCAGCCACCATCACCGTGGATGATGATCATAATTGGCACAAGGTCTCTGTGAATTCACGAGAAGAGTGTTTTATATGGAGAACACAATTCATATGAACAACGATGATTGGAGTTGCTTTGAATTCTAACAGTGTATGGAGTTTCGCCTGATTGAGAAGGTTCGTCTTGGCTCTTCTCGTGAGGGAAAGCTCATCTCTTAGTCGTGATATATTTGACTAGGAAACTTTTTCTTGACAGAAAGTCAGCAATAAGTTTAGAGCCCTGTGGACATTTGCGCGCTCTAGATATTTCGAAATAATAACAATTCCTCAAAAATATAAAACAGCTGTTCTCTTGAGCTTGACTCGTGAATTGTGATGTCCTCGGTCTGTAAGTGTGCAGGCCGCAGAACCTGACATAGACGGTGATGCCGGAGAGTGGCTCGACGCGACGTGCTTGGGCGGTGATCATGTACAGAATCGCTTTTAGGATGAACGAAACGAGCTCTATTTTCATGCGGAAGAGCAATTGAGCAGCTCTCTCTGTGGCAATCAATTGTTGCTTTGGAGCTCTCGTGAAACCTGGTCGTTGTAAGGATACTTAATTTCAGATTGGTGCTGTTTCCAGGCCCGGGACACTAAGGAGATAGTCGTGTGTGTTTGCATGTACCATAGATATGGGTTCTGCGACTGAGAGTTCCTATCAACATCAAATTCTTTAAGAAACAAGACAGCATGGCTAAATTATCATCTTGTTCAAGCTTGTGGTGTGGTGACAATCTTGATCCCTTGTTATAATTGCTATTCTTTACCAGCAATTTCAGTGGTTTTGCGTCCAGACAACAAGTAGCAATATCGTCGGACTCGTGTATGGATGATGGATCTAATGAGGGCGAGGGTCTTCGCGACTTCTTGAAGGGCATTTGGAGCGATATTGCACTACCAACGAGTCTCTTCATTAGATGCTCCCTCAGACTGTTGATTCCTTGGGTACAACCTAATGACGATGGAGGAGGACGGAGAGGCACGAAAAAGACGAGATGCAGGTGTTGCTTCCAATCATATCTTGGAGGTCGTTGCGAAGACGACCCAGCTCGTAGTTGATGAAGCCAGTAATCTTGAGGACCTGGCTGCGAACAGTTTACAACTTCATCACATTGATGGAATAGAAGGATCTTGAATTGCCGATGTTGTTGTCATTTATAATAGCTTAGGAGGCCCCGACACACAGAGCAGACACAGTGAGCTGGAGGCTTTTCTGCTGCTGGAATGTTGCATTGCGATTTTCGTGGTTGAGTCAGCGTAAGATCATGCAAAGCTCGCTGTGTCAGATTAATAGTGATGTGTACTTTCTAGCTTAACAGCTCAGAAATAGTCACCTTGAGAGGAAGACATGGACTGTGCATGTCAATCCATGTCTGCTTCTCAAGGTGATCATTTCGAATTGGTGATCGACGACGGCGCCATTGCGGCGGTGCCATTGCTTGCCAAAGAGCAGATCCCATTCCTTCGATTTTCCGATGATGATCGCTTGCACATATGTGAGGATGTTTGCCACAAAGGGTGGTATTCAGCCGTATGCGCTACTTCGCATCTCTGCAGCTCTCAGGGTGTTACGAAATGAATACGTACCGACTGGAAGCTTTTGAGTATGTCCATAAATCCATGCACAGGACTTTGAATTCACAGATGACTGCTTGGTGCATCTGAAGATAATCAAATGCGTGACGCGCTCGAAGAGCTTTATTGTTGTTTCCATCGAAGATCGAGAAAAGGCTGGCTTCCACTAACTGACATGCATCGGCTCTAAGAGAGCCGGTGCAACTCATGTACTCAAATCATATCCGTCAACACCAGGTGCATTCACAGCACGGAGCTGTCTTCAATCCGGATCCGGGACCGCAAAGAAAAGTGGGTCGCTACATGGGCCGGCTTACCGACCTCGGTCTTGGCCGGGGTGATAGAGCCCCGCACTTCATGCCGAGGTGATTGAGACAACCAAGGTAAGTGATCACGCTCGATGTGTGAGCATCGTTGTCTGACTTATCGCAACATACTTGCAGCGATTCTCCAGCAATCATCGTGCGGAACTTTTAGTGCTATTATCTGCTCCGCAAGATTGCATTGATCAGCCATGTCTCGAGTTCCCTTCGCAGACCCTCCTTGGCTCAGAGGCCTACCCTCACCCTATTTCAACGATTCACACAAGAGGTTCCAAGTCGCGTGTCGCAAGTTCATCGACGAAAACCTGAACAAGGATGCACTTGAATGGGAAACATCCGAGGAAGTGCCATCCAACGTGTTCAAGACGTTCGCCGATGGCAACTTCCTTCTTCCCGCCCTGCCGGCGCCTTTGCCCGTAGAGTGGCTGCGAAAGCTCGGAATTACCCACATGCCCGGGCGGGTGCCGATCGAGGAATGGGACTACTTGCACACAATGATCTACTCCGATGAGGTACGAGTGTCGTTGTATATGCTGACTTCCCGCATGCAACTAATCGCGTCACTCTATAGATGAGTCGATCCGGTCTGGCTGGTCCCGGAGGATCTATCACTACTGGCGTTGCTTTTGGAATCCCACCTTTGCTGCATTATGGCGATAGCAAGTTGCAAGAAAGGTTCCTGCCGGAGCTTTTGCTTGGACGAAAGAGAACTTGTATTGCGATTACTGAGCCAGAGTAAGTTGAGCTTTCGTGGTGCAAGCACACTGGTTCTCATGAGAAGAGGCTGACATCTTTCTTCAACTATTGCAGCGCCGGATCAGACGTCGCAAACATCACCACCACAGCTGAGCTGCAAGGTAACGAATACATCGTGAACGGAACCAAGAAATGGATTACCAACGGTGTAATGGCGGACTATGCAACTTTGGCCGTCCGAACCGGTGGCGAAGGCTCAGGGGCTAAGGGAATTTCGCTCCTAGTGGTGCCCCTGGACCAGCCTGGAGTATCCAGAAGGCGCCTCAAGGTCTCTGGGCAGATCATCGCGGGCACCTCGTTCATCGAGTTGTCCGACGTTCGCGTGCCACGCGAGAATCTCATCGGCCGCGAGAACGAAGGCATGAAGTATATCATGCACAACTTCAACCATGAGCGCATGTTCATCTCGGTGGGCGTGACACGGCAGGCCAGAGTGGCGCTGAGCTCGGCGTTTGCGTATGTTCTTCAACGTGAAGCATTCGGAAAGGTGGGTGACTATCGCTGATCTTCTCACTCGAAAATATTCAAGGAACGTACTGACAGGCTATCCGGAAAGCCACTCATTGACCAGCCAGTCGTGCGCCATCGCCTGGCGAAATGCGGGGCATTGCTCGAGTCGCAGTCTGCTTGGGTCGAATCATTTGCCTATCAGCTGTCAAAGATGCCCAAGAAGACTGCAGACGAGGAACTTGGCGGCTTGACCTCCTTGTGCAAAGCCAACGCAGGAATTGTGCTAGATGAATGTGCAAGGTGCGCTGTTCTGTTGTTCGGAGGTAACGGATACACTCGCACTGGAAAAGGAGAGATTGCAGAAAGTAAGTCACCACGTTCAAGTCTAAATTGTTTTTGGTTAAATTGACACTAATTATGACGTTCAGAGATCTACCGTGAAGTTCCGGGTGCGCGGATTCCTGGTGGAAGCGAGGATGTGTTGCTTGATCTAGCTATTCGCCAGTTGACCAAGAGGTTCCTTGCAGAAACCGAGAAGGAGAAGAAGAGATCCAAGCTGTAGAATATCTTTTTGTACATTCATGAATACGCAAAGTGAGGCGAGGCGTACGTGTAAATTTGTTCATTCTCAACAAACCAACTTGGCTCGATGCAATTGCGCTTAAACTCCCTTTTTTTCTCCCAACATGCGATCGGCACTTCGGTGCTCAACTTGTTGGCGTTGTTCATCTAGCGTGTACAAGTCAGCTTCAAGTATTTGGTAATGTCAATGTAGATCGTTGTACTTACGCCTTGGGGTTCTTGCAATCAAAGTTGCCATCTCCGTTGATGAAACAAATCTGGTTCTCTGGGCAGTTGCCCTCCAGGTTCCAAATCAACCTGCCCTCAGATCCCATCTTGCACTCCAACGAGTTGACACCTGAGCACGTGTAGTCGCCGAGCTTAGCGCAAGATGAGCCCGGGTTCTGGGCATTGACTCGTCCAATGGCCACGGCGGCCAGAAGGGTGGTCTTCAAAGTGGTGGGGAGCATGATGTCGGTTGTCGAGTACTAAGGGGACGGTGGGATTCCGGCAGAACTTCAGAAGATTGAAAGTGGGTAATCGTGGTAACTATCAAGATGGCTTTTGAGGTTTGGGGTTTCCTGTAGATTATATAGCCAAAAGCCCATGTTAGAGAGGATTGAGGATATGTGAAACTGCAAAAAAGAGATATTGCGACGAAAGTGCAACGCCTCCTCCGGCGACCCCGAATCGCCATGCAATTCAAAGTCCCGTCGCTCGCAATCTCGTTGATCAGTTATGGGAAGATATACGTCACCACTTATTAGAGTTTCGCATGAATTTGATTTATTTATATACGGAGTAGTCCAGCGGCCCTTTTCACCCGACAAACAGGCTGTGCACCGTCCCGATGAGCTCGCACACTCGGATACTTCCACAACACGCGACAAACTGATTCATGGACTAACAGGTGGAACGCTATCGGTGTATCGGCGACCAAACTTGATCTGGCTTCGTTGCAAATGTCAAGGTTGCATCGAAACCCATAGCTTAACTGTTGTTCTGCGCTTCAAGCCACGCTTTGTCTACACCAAAAAAGCAACCAATATGTACAACGGACTCATAATACGAATATGAGCAGCGCTTTCAGCTGATCAAAAATAGTTGTTTTACCATCGTCGTGTTGTTTTGCTACTCCTGTTCTCGGTTGAAACCACCGCACAAGGAAGGCTGATGAGTTTACATGAAGTATCAAATCTCGAATAAGCTCTACAAGGGCATGCCTTCAGAAAGATCAATATTATTTCCATGGCATCAGCAATTGGATCGAGGCATTTGCCGAGCCCATGAAAATCAAGCTTCAAGATGCCGCACAAGATCGTCACTACTGATCCTTTGTTCTGGACTCCAATGCAACATTGGAGCCAGCAATGATCTGTCGCCTGCATGATCCGATGACTTTCGCAAACTCTCTATTCTCAAAAGCCACTGCATCATCTCGTCTTTGACGTCTTCGTTCTCAAAAACACGCGGTAGAATCCATGACCCGTCAGGCAGGGGAATATCCCCAAAAGCAAACAACATCGTCACGCCCAACGCCCACACATCGCCAGCTTGGCACTTCTTCTTCTCGAAGAACTCTGGGGGCGCGTATGACGGGGTGCCGGAAGGCGTCCAGCCGCCCTCCGGTAAGCTCTCAGGATTGACTAGTGCAGCGCCGAAGTCGATGAGGACTGCATGCTTGAGCTTCTCGTCCCATACAATGTTGTGCGGCTTGACGTCGTCATGAATGATGGATTTTGAGTGGGTGTACGCGAGGGCACTTGACATCTGCTTCCACAACAACCTTGCGTCATCACGTGTGAGTGTGCATTGTCTGGTGTCCGACTTGATGAAGTGATCGAGACTGTGACGCGCTGCCCACCGTAGAGTTATCGTGAGAGATACCGCATCAGAGTGTGTAATTTGGACAATGTTGGCCTATAAGAGATGGTGAGACTCTCTGAACTTCACTCTATTGTAAGATTTCAGAGAACTTACGTGGGTGCCCACATGTCTGAGAGCCTCTACTTCCCGCTCCCAATGTTGGACAGCCCGAGGGTCTTTTTGAGGTTGGAACTTCTTAACGAATACCTTGCATAGCTTCGGTTTCCTCTGGCGGGTCTCAGTCACTGAATTTTAAGGTAAAGGTAACGGTTCGTGTCTGCCTGCTGGCCGTTGGCAGCATGCGCGCACCACTGTACGAGACGGAACAAGAGAGTCTCTCGCAGCCTTCGACGGGCGATAACGCGAAGTTTGGGGAAACTCACTGGTACGTCGTTGGCCAAGGTGGGTTCAGCTACGGGTCGTTCTTTTGGCTCCATCGAACATACGAGCACGTTTGAGATTTAGACTGTATGGCGAAAAAAGATAAACGTTGATTGCTCCTGTGTCGTAAGGATGAATGGGAGAAGGTTTGAAAACTGAATAGTGACTTTGAAAAGACGAATGCAGGCAACCTTCCAAATACGCACTAGACTCTGCACGATTGCGACTCAAATTTGCCGTAAAACCCAGCCTGCATGAACGGGTGACTCACGCCGGAGCCAACGGCGGCCCCCGCCCTCTTCGGACCAAAGTGGACCATCTCCGTTCCGGATAACGGCGCATCAACCGGGTATGTGGTCATGCTTCCTGACCAGTGAACCCAAGACGCTTGTCATGAATGGACGCGCTATATTCAGATCGTACAAATTGGGTATCTGTGAATCTACAAGGGGCTATCCGTATCACACGCTATCCTTCTCGCGTGCGCGAGAAATCCCGAACAACCAGAACCCGGTAATGACAGCTACGCTCTCCCATTTCTCCCCCAAATCCCCCGTCAACCCTGTCCCCATAAACTTGAATTTCAGTCCGTTCGCAATCCCGATATTCGACCTTGGTGCCAAGACGGCAACAACTTCATTCCCGTCGCCCGAGAAGCCTTGCTCGCGCGCCTTTCTGCTGCCTCCAGCACCAGCCCTGGGCCCGGACATCCTCACCAACTTGCCTCCGATCGAATGCCGCGCGAGCTCCTTGACCTCGTTCCCACTCGAGCGCCTCCACTGGAACTCCTCTTCCCTGCACTCTTTGCCAACCTTGATCCGGAAGGCAAGACATGAGGCAAACACCGAGCCGCACCGCGAGTTCGCTGGCTTTTCGTAGGAAATCTCCTCGACAACGGTGTGCGGGTCCGACGGATCGTGGAGGGTGATTGTGGCTACGAAGCTGACCGAGCGGGGATTCTTCTGTGTCATCCTGACGATGATGGGGTCTCTCTCGCTCGGCCCGTTGTGGAGATGGAGGGGTTGCATGGTGGTTTGGAGTCTTGCGCTAGCGGAAAATGCGAAGAGGCGTTCTTCTGATGATATGGGACCGAGGTAGTAGAAGCCTTCCTGCCTGTCAAGGTAGCATTGAAAAGATGGAGGAAACTTCGCCAGCGAATTCAAAGGCGTTTTTGAGTCGGAAGGCGGGTTTTGGAAGCCAGTGCTGGGTGCTTGATATGTCGGGATTTCCTCTTTGTCTTGGGAATAGGGAGGCGGGTTGTCGCTCAGACGTCCCTTGCCTTTGAGACTGTCCATTTTGGCGGAATTCGAAATATTGTGTGTTCGACGTCAAGTGTTGTCTTCGAAGAGTCGGATACTCGAGGTCGTCGCATCGCAATATTGGGCGGGTCGCTATTTATGAACTGGAGCACAGAGTCAGCATACTGGTCACGCGGGATTCCTCCAAGCGTGGCTCATCTTGGCGGCTAACCCAGCTCAAGGGGCTGTGAAACGACCAGACAATTGCCAATGACGTCAGTCTGGCAAATAAGCAATTGCGACGGTGAAATATAGAACAAACGACCATCCCTGACTGCGCCTCTTATTTAACGTCTAACAGCCACAAAAGTCCGAAGAATCCAACACTAACACGAGCCTGCGCCACTTTCCGAATTAGGCAGTCCGAGATATCTCACCACCACCCTTCACTCGCACAGTTGAGTTTGGGAGGAAGATGACATGGCCTCGATAGCAATGATGGATGATATTGACGGCGGAGGATTCGAAGGACGCAGAAACAAATTCTGGGAGAGAGTTCCAGACGACATCAAAATTATCCTCGCTGTCCATCATTTGGAACCTAACCCACTTGTACGAAATAATGCTAAGAAACCCAACTGCAAGATTATGATTTAGCTCCTGGGTATAAATTTGTTGTCATGATACTGAGCACTGATGACACCACGCAATTAGGCATGCGCTTGGTGGCGTGCTTAGAATGTTTGTGCTGAGCGACGTTTTACTGCGGTTGGTTGAAATGTCATGCCTTGACGGCCGTGATTTGATGCATTAGCTTTGGCAGAGACCACGCACCCCCGTGGTCGTTATCGGTCTCTCGCCCCTCTGAAGTATCCTGGACTGAATAATTGAAAAAGATAGCGTAGGTATGACTTCATTTGCTTACTTGTTGTGGTGGCTCTGCAATTCGACGAATGCTTCTTTCCCGTGGCCTGGACAACCCGTGATCGACGTTGGAACCCTGAGGAATCTCAATGTATCACATTGCTCTCACCTTCGCTCTTGTAGGCGCAAAAATAAACTTTTAGACTGTTTGACCATGCCGTTAGCCAGACTCACGAATGTTATGAAGCCAGTGATGGGTAAGTACGTTTTGTTGAAAGGCCACGCTTGTCTTTGACGTGCTCTCTAATCGATAAATCCCGTCGGCCAGAGACTTCCTGCAAGCATGGCACACTGTCTACTTAAAAGGGTTCGCTGGGCATTGTAACTCCCCAGGGAAATAGCGTATGCTCCAACTTGTTTGATAATTTCAAATGTCCGATACGGGTGGGAAAGCTACTGCCAAGAGGGGTCTGAAAAGGGGCACAGGATACCAAGACCGAAGAGGCTTCGTCTTCAGTGCATTTCCAAGCTTAGACAGCCCAAATACGGAAAGGACAACGATGGAATGTGCGTGGACGAGGCTCGAAGACAGCGTTTTCCATCTATTGTCGTTTTGCGCTCTCCGGCATAAGCACAGCCAAGCTGGTCGAGTTCAGCCCACAGGCGATCCTGTGCACCGCATGCGCTATTTGCGGCTTCCAATGAGATTGATACATTATCCCAACTTTGAAGAGGGGGAAAGAGCGGTGTGGAAGTTGTGAGCTGTGGCTTCAGAGGGACGAAGGGAAATGCAAGACTGATGCCCAGAAAGCCGGTAGCAGATACATAGACACCGAGATGAAGAGGGCGTCATGAGAAGATTTAAGGGCAGGTGGAATGTACAGCATTGCGATTTCGAGGACCAAATTTTCCCCTCGACCCGACCCTATCAATCCTGCTCAGATCTCTCAGCAATGGCAGTTACATGACTAAAGAAAGCCAGGAGAATGTAGCTGGCTCATCTTCAATGGTATGCGCTGTAGCAATCTCATTGCTGTTCCTTGCTGGTATCCACCAAATCAATACTCTGACAACAACAGGGATAGTGAACGACAAAGCAATAGGCAGTTTGGTCCTGTTATGGGCTGCAGACGATCGAATATGCGACACAGTCCACAAAAGCCTTTACATGCCCTGTTCAGGCCCCAGCAATTCAATGAATTGTCAGAGCTTGACACCACATTCCATTGCCGAACATGAAATGCCAGGGATTCAGCATTAAATACTGCCGGCAGGTAGTGGGATGTATGGTAGGCGGCGAACATGCGGCAGGCTTGCGGCAGCATAAAAGAAAAGACTTCTTAAGCTTCTGACAATGATAGAGAACAAGACGCAGTTCGTTCTGTGAACCCAACATTGACTTAATGAACCCGATCAAAGAACTTAATCGTGGAGCGAGTAAGCGGTTGAAATAGATGAAATGACGGCCTCACACCTGAGCCGCGGCGTTGCTTCTCATTCCTAGCCTTATTCGCACCACATAACACAAGAACGACAACAGAAAAGAAACAGATCCCGGCGTAAGGGAGGAAAAGCGAGGTAGGTGCTAAACATTGGTTTCAGGAGGCTAGGTTCTTTTGCATGATACCTGCGTGGGCCTGAACCTTACCTGGCAAACGAGTGTAACACTGCTTTCGGTTGCAGAAAACTTCAGGGGAGAAAGCACCTACAATGATTAAATACTCCGATGCCTGGTCGTAGTCACTTGGATCCGCATCCAACCGAAAAATTAATATCTCAACTGAGAAGCGGTTGTGAAGCAGTGAAAACTCGTCAACCACGATGAATCTGGGTGAGCGGTGTTAGACGCCGTGGGCCCTTGACCCCGTAACAGAAAGATGAGTCCCGCGTTTGGATGCAAGCTTGGGGCATGCGGGAAATATAACATCCTACAACTCTTCAACAGTCACAGCCAGCGAGGACAAATTCGATGTTTCTCAAACTCCCGTGTATTCAAGAACCTCGAGACAGATGCAAAGCGAGTGCTCGCAGCGTCCTTTGCCGATGTAGTAAGGTGGTTATGATTGTGTAAGAGTCACTTTGTGGTGAATGAAACGAATACGCGCGAGAACGTCAAGGATACATACCAGTGGTGAAAGAGGACCACACGGGGAGTGAGATACGTCCCGGAGCACAGGCGCAGAAGTCGACAAGGGTTTTTGGAGCAGTAATGAAATGGCCCAAATAAGTCCGGGGCACCTTCTTTCGCACTCTTCCACTTCATCGAATGAATCAAGAGATGGCTAACGAACTCATTGGAAAAACACAAATACATCACAGCCGCAGTTGCAGAGACTTATGACACCGCCCAAATTTTAGCCGTTGTGTGAGAATAGACAGCGAGGTTATGGGAGATACAAGAATCACCTGAGAGCCGGAATCGAACTTGACTCACGTGTCGTGTAGATGACGAGATGACGACGTAAGCTAGAACGAACGTCTCTTCAGAAAGGTTCCAGACTTTGGTGACCCGTCAGCATGTTCACATCATGTAGCGGGCGTTTCTCGCTTGAGCAGTGTCTTTTGAACATCGTTTAGAACCTGCCATCTCATCCTACACTCAGGCGAAGGTGAATGTCAGTCCTTCCTTGCATCGGAGGGTTCTCTAGCTCCCGCCACAAGCAATATAGGGTGGCGTTTCGGGATGATGGACACTATCACAAGCAGCCGATCACCATCCTTGTGACTTCAAATGGCGCTGCACCATCGGTAACACAAGGTAAAGCCAACAGAGACTACTCGTTGGAGTTGTTGAGTGACCGGTCAGGTGAGTTTGAGCCTCAAACCTAAGATCACTCACCGACCGTCGGTCCAGATTCCGTGCAACACTCCACACCGACCACAAAGACACGCACCGCCATCTGCAACCCGCACCTCCAGCTACTTGCCGAAGGTTGTCTCACCACCCGGGACGGGAAGGCAGAATCGAGGTGTGCTCAGGTGACTGAGGCTGAAGGGCTGGTCCAACAGCTCGTCTTGACGCCGGGCGACGACCGAAGCAGAGACCGTTCGCGCCCGCGGTGCCGTCCCCCACCATTAGCCATTGTCACACCTCGCTGAAGCGGCTTCGGTCGGCGGGAGGTTCCCGGACCTGACCAAAAGCGGAAAAGTGCGATATCGGAGGCTGGCCAATCCACAAGCTTGAGGTGGAGCGCCATCACACACTTCCCATCCTGCGGTTCCCTTCACCGCGCGCGGGATTTGAGACTTTTCCCCCATTTTCCTCACTGTTCGGTGATGGGGAAGCGCGGCCAGTGAGGGTCGCTGATCCGTCGCTGGCCGCATCGTCAGTGGCCGGAGGAATGCAGACCGAGACAAGTGATGAGCCCGGAAGGGTGGGGACCCCTAGGCTCACCGGGTCCCGACAAGGAGAGATGTGGCATCCGTTATCCATACCCGCCACCCTCTTTTTTGGCTCTCCAACTGTCGTGGAAGGATGGACGGAAAGCCGAAGCTCGATTGACGGGCGTTTAGTCAGACGTTGATGACATGTTGGGGAGCTTGTTGTGATCATCGGCACGCGTCTCAGGCAGGGCTGGCTCGCTGAGTTGAATGCAGCGGTTGAGAGCATCTGCGGCAGAGAGAGGTTCGGTTGTCGATGTCGATGTTGTTGTCCTGCACATGCCATGCAGGGCGACAGAAACAGACGGCGCGACGGCTATCTCAAGCGCGAATCCCACCAGTCTCGCGCATGTCTGTCGTGCATATGCCGCTAATCATAGACACATAGCGACGGTGTAAGGCCGGCCGACTCGGCGGGAGAGAGAGCCTGGAAGGACGAATACAGACATTCCGAGTGAGTGGAGACTCGCGTGCTGGGGTGGTGTTGATGTCCCTCCTTCGACATTGGGTCGACTGGAGTTGCAACGCTCGTAGCTAGGTTTCCTAGAGTCAGAAGCATAGCCACGGCATGACATGACGGTTTGCTAGTCATCGGGAAAACTGCCTTGTTACCGCTGTCAAGCCGGTGGCACTCTGTCGGGAATCGAGATGTGCGACGGGACGAACGATGGGGTCTTCATCCGTAACCCTTGTCGACAGCAGGCCAGACTAGACCCGGCCAGGGCAAGGCATGGCATGTTTGGACCGTTGCATCGCGTGGGTAAGTGAGCAGCAAGACCTGGCATGCTGTCTAAAAAAGCATGCAGCAGAAT